AAGACAAGTTTGACAAATTTAATTAACTAGACAATAATTTATACTAACTGATTTTATAAATGATTTTTTATGAATATCGGTCGTAACATATCTGCACTTTAAAGCTTTTTGAGAACATAATGCAGTAATGTTCTATTTAAAAAACGGATCATAAAGAATAGTATTTACTTACAGAGAAATCTTAAATAACCAATATACTACGAAGGTAGCACTTAACGATTTATTACTGTGAAATTAGCCAACTAAGAAGCGTTTCAAGCAACCTTGCCCATTGAGTTTAATAGTTAAATAGATCGACCAATTAAAATCTATGCAGGGGGCATACCCGGGGCATAGAGGGCATGCCCCAGGCAAAGGCATGCCCAGGGGGCATGCCCCGAAAATTTGCTGTGCCCCCAGCCCTACCCGCACCCTAATCCTGTGATCTTATTTGTTTACCCGGATAACCAAGAAGTCTAACCGACAGTTAACCCGGGTAAGGTTTTTTTGAACGGGTCCAACCATTAAGTTGACAGCCGAAGGCTATTTATTTACCAAGTTTAAACTTATGCCATCACCAAAATAATACATAAATTCCCATAAAAACAATTAGTAAACCGTAGAAATTGTTATATGAGTCACTCATGTGAATCTTATATAAGCATAATCTCTACACAAGGTTATAAGATTAATTGTAAATGAATAAGATAAACTATGCATTTTCTAAAAATAATTCGCCCAAAATTAATATTTCATTTTAGAAATGGTAAGATTTATCATTTTACAAAAGTATAAAATATATAGAAGTAAAAAATCTAACATTACTTTTATTTCCTTTTATTTTATAAAAAAACAAATAGTTAATTATAATTATAATAATTAGTAAGCATTATATCAGTATTGCTAAATTTTGCTTCTAACAGAGCTTTTTAATCTTCCGTCAAGAATTTACAATATAAAAGTTCAAGCGGCTCTATTAATTTTTCTTCCAGTGGTTTCCATTCAACATATTCACATAAAAATATTATATCTTTTTCAAATAATAATAATATACTACTTAGTGAAAATGAATAAGAAATATACACTATATTTATTAATTATTCTGACATTCATAATGCATTCAAAAAAATATACAACTGCAAGTTCTATAACTAGTTATTCTTATGATGCATATGACTTTGAAGATACTGTAGCCTATTGGACACCTGAAAGAATGAAAAATGCAAAACCTGTGATTAAAAAAGGCGAATTTATAGATAATAATGAAATTGAAAAAGAGAACTTCTCAGTAGACTCATTACAAAATTTTACACTTGATTATGTTGGAAAATTCTTTTTTTATAATAACAGAACAAATCATAATTACTTTTGTACTGCAAGTGTAATTAACAATCGTGAAATGACTATTAATGCTAGTATCGGAGTAACTGCTGCACATTGTCTTTATGATAATCAATATTGGTATACCAAAATGTTTTTTTGTGCTGGATTTAATGATGGCAATTGTGTAAAAAATGTTGCTATATTAAAAGCTGCCGTAGTCATGAGAGATGATAAATATTATTATGATTATGGCTTGATAAAATTTGACAATTCCAGTAATTTGCAAAATAAAATAGGATACCTCGATTGGGATAACAACCCAGGTAACAATGTTGAAGTCACAATATTTGGTTATTCAATGAATAGTGAACTTCAATGTGCTAAAAATGGAAATGTTTTATGTATGTGGCATGGAATTTCAACTCAAATTGGTTCTTTTAGACATGTGCCTGTAGATACAGGAAGTGGCTCAAGTGGAGGTCCTTGGATTAAGCTATTTGATTCAAAAAAAAAACAGGGTTGGTTAGTTGGTAGTGTAAGCTCTAGTGGGCCTGGTTCAGCTAATTCGCCTATATATTCAGATGATGCATTTAATGAATTATTTAAAATATTATCCAATAATACTAGAGTTGCAAGTGAAACCAATTAATTTCACCAGGAAACTGGTGACCATCGGTGCACCGTTAAAGATGAGTCTCATCTGATAACTCTAGTTTCACCAGTTTTACCTACAACTCTAAATAATACTAGTACTTCACAAAATCAAATCAAAATTTGAATTCGAATCAAATATCATATAGTTATTGTACAGTGTGAAAGGCCTCAGGATCCTGACCTTACAATTTTTTCCTTTATATTATTATTATTTCATTTTATTATTATTATTATTATTATCTATTTTTTTTATTTCTCTATAAAGTAAAACTCAACATAGTTGGTATATATACAGAAGTCCCAAAATAGAAGTAAATATCAATACCTATTAGGTAGTTCACAAGATATGAATTTTATGAACTTTTTGCACTTTTTGAATTTTTTGAACTTTCAGAACTGAACTTTTTGAATATAGTACATATCTATTTTGTCAATTTTTTGATTGTAATAAATAAATTTAACTTATATTGTAATAATATAAGAAAAAGTATAAAAGCGATGCTTTTTTTGTTTAAATAAAGCTAATTCAGTTGAGGTTTAACCTTCAAAATCTGAGTAGAAGTGTTAGCTCTAATAGCTATCTTCCTTAAATAATAAATTCATTATAAATAAGTTGTCGTAAAAGTTCTCTTGTACTCATGATTTTGTCTTATTCAAATTTTTTTATTCTTCATAAGAGTAAAAGAGAGAAAGTATCAATTAGTAATCTGACTCCTTTTATATTAAAATACCAATTGACAAAACTACAATCCATATCATTGTTAACTCAAACAAGTAAAAGCAATGCACAAATGCAGTAAGTAGTAAAGTAGGTATAATAATAAAAATATAAGAATGGGTTAATTAGTCTATTGTTGCTATTTAAAATTAATTGGTATCAACTAATAGAGACTTTATTTTTCATGAAATATTTGATAAAACTGATAGAAAAAAAATGCAAGAGTTAACTCAGTTTTTTGATCTTATAATATACAAAGTAAAAAAACAACTTTGCATGTTCTTATATATGAATATGAGTATATTAATTTACTATAAATTTTTAAACAAAAAAAATAAAAATAATTCTATATAATGTAAAATGCTAAAGCGATTTTGTCTAGCTTAAATATGAAAGAATGATAACTAATAAGCAGGTAAAAGCAGTTTATTGAGTAATTTGTAATTAAGTAAAGCAATTAACTATTTATATAATTAAAATCTGCTGTGATTAAAAACAATTGGATTAAATTTTTTGAAATAGTGTTATTAGTTTTTAACAATTATTAAAACAAAAAAGATAGTGCTCATGAAATAAATAGAAAAGGTGGTATTAAATAAAAGTTGTATTAAAAAGAAATACATTTAAAGCATATAGGAATTACATAGGTTAAATATTAAATTAAGAGATAAGGGTAGTGACAAATATTACGTGATATCCTGAGAGGGGAAGGAGGTCTTGGATATCTTATGTTAGAATAAATTTATAAACTAGCCAACCAAATTTCTCTTAAGTAGGGGTAGAGAGTATAGTAAAAAAATATTACGTAATATTTGTCATCACCCTAAAGAAATTGTGTATAAAAAATAAAATAAGAATGGTAGAAGAAAATTAAATATTTTAGACAAGATATAATGTCACAGCCAAAGTTTGGTATATAACAAAATTTGGAGCTCAAAATATACTGTTTGCAAAATGTAGATTGAGGATAACTTGAAGTGAGAGCAGAATTACAAAATTAGCAACATGTGAAAAAAAATGAATACTCGTCATCTTTGAAGGAAGTGTTTTTGTGATTATTGGCACAATTGATTGAAACACAGATTAGTACAGCTGTCCTCTTCTACAGTTACCTCCTATATAATTACACCTCTTTATAAGCATCATTTTCTGAAAAATTATTGACAATTTATTTATTAAAAAAGCTTTATATAATCACATTACTATTAAAACTTTATAATCATATCTTTTTTATATAAAACAAACTGTGTAATTATAGAGGTAATTATGAAGACTATCGGTGAGCAATTATGTAATTATCAGTTAATAAGTCACTAAAAAAATTGAGTATTATATGAATGTATAGTAAATTGTGATGTAATTAGATAGAAAACAAATAATATCAGAGACAAAATTATAATGTAAATAATTAGAGTCAAATTCTATATATACTGGGTGGATGAAAAGTCTCTATACAGGTCCCTTTTTTTTAATCACTAAAATAGTAATCATTACAATATTATATATAATTGTATTTAAAATTAAGTACTATAAATCTTAGCGGAGATAGTAAAAAAAGGACCTGTATAGAGACTTTTCACCCACCTGGTATAATTAACATAAAAATAATAAAGAAATTTAGAGGAATTTATATATAAGGGTTTGAAAAATGAAAATAATTACAAATAAGAGCCCAAAGTGAAAATAATTGCATATAAGAGTCCAAATTTTGAAAAATTTTACAATTAAAGGCCCAAATAACTTTGCATTATGATGATAGTGGTTCTTCGAACATTATGACTATATATATATATATATTAATTTACCATATCTTATCGTGAATAAGCATTACACCCTCTACCTCACTTTTTTAAATATCAGATTAGCAGTAATAATTTGGCTTCATTGCGATTTCTGCTAATCTTATATTTAAAAATTGGGGTAGAGGGTGTAGTGCTTATTCATGACAGGATATGGTATATATTTTATACCTTTCGCTTAATGAACTTTCTTTTAACCAAAAAACAATTCTGTTCTAAACTAATATGTTTATTCTGTCACTATACCAAACTAGTGAATCAATATTTTGTAAAGATTATTGTCATGGCTTATCTTGGACTACCGTGTACTTCTTGGTCTTCACTATCGGTCTTTACTTGCTTGGATAATTTGTTTAATGACCGTGTATCGTACAGGTCCTTCCACTGATATGTATTCACTAAGATTGTATTTCACTAAAGTAATTACAGAATTGAAACTCAATTCTCAAAGCTATCAAAGCTTGAAAGCTAGGTACTTTCCCTTTTAGGATTGATACCTTATATTAATTAATAATCACTATTTTGTGTTACTGATTATTACATACTTTCCCATCACTTATGCAATCGCTATTATTACTAATTAATAATAAATACTATATTGTTCATGCAATCACTATTTTAACCTTTTATAATAAGTACTTATAAGTACTTGATTATATTTTAAAAAAATTAAATAAATTATTTGCTTTTTTAATATATAATATAAAGTTATTAATTATAAAATTATAATTACCGTATTACTACGAAATAGCGCACACCTGCATGGTATTTCGAGTATGCACATATGCACTATTTCGAAATCAATCTAGTTTTTATAAAATTCGGTGCTTTGACTAACTATGTAGTGTGTCATTTACTATTTGTTTTTTGACATTTCTTATTGTAAAATCATATAGATGACGTCTAATCATCTTTTTATGAGAAGATGGGTTAGATATTAGCTATATGATTTTACAATAAGAAATGTCAAAAAACAAATAGTAAATGATGCACTTCATAGTTAGTCAAAGTACCCTGATTTCATAAATTCGCCGCGATGAAGAGTTTTGGTTCATATTATCCAGCTTATCTGCTATAAAAATTGATGACAAACAGTCAACATTGTAACAAAAGGAGAGATAAGATGGCGCTAAGAATTTTCTCTGTAGTTCAGTACACTTAAAGTTATAAAAATACATACATTTATTTATACAGTATACTATATAAGGTGCGCGCTATTTCGGGATGCGCATGGGCGTTATTTTGAAGCCAAGTATACTATTTTAAGGGAATGTGATTTTCGAAATAACGCCCATATGTGCTATTCCACGGTAATACGGTATATATACACGAAAAAAGTTAAAATAAGACACTTAAAGATCACTGAACCCAGTGATTATTGCAAATTGTATCACCCTCGACATAGTCACATAATGATTTGATTGGCCAGAAAATATAAACAAGATTAGATAATACGTACGTACGTACGTCATAAATAGGTAATTGTATATAACGTGATATTGTTGTATAACCTTGCATAAAATCAAGCTTTAGCGTTATTGTTACTGCTATTACTGACATACACTTATTACTAACCCAAAATCATAACGAAGCATATTTCTATTGTTTGAATTAGCTCCAAGGTTTTAATTTGAAATGCGAAGCAAGTGGAGTAAAGCTAAGCTTTCATATAGTGTTTTTATAAAGTTTTTATTTTCTAGATCGTTGGTTCTTTTTTTAATTGTAACTTTTCAATATTTCTATTGTTTGAATTAGCTTCAAAGTTTTAATTTGAAATGCAAAGCAAGTAGAGTAAAGCTAAGCTTTTGTATAGTGTTTTTGTAAAGTTTTTATTTTTTAGATCATTGGTTCTTTTTTTTAATTGTAACTATTTAATTCAATTTAGATGTGAAATTCTTGATCTTGAGCAATGTATATTTTTTCTTGTTACTTGGTATTATAGCTTGTTCTTATTTGTATTTGAGCAATGTTCTAAATAACCTAATAGTAGTATTAACAGATTACTAATTTTTTTTTCTTTTAGTTTACCAGCTATGTTATTATGATTCTCTTCTGGTATATTTTTTCATATCCTTTTGTTATGGTTTTACTTTTTTGTATTTTGTTTTTTTTTATTTATTTTTAGATTAAGCTGTTGTATCCTCACTAGTGATACAGTTTCTGGTTATTAAATATATTTCATATCCTTTTTTTTGTTGTATATTGCATTTTATTAAATTTTTTCATATCTTTCATATCTTTAGTTTAGTATTAAGTTTTTTATAGATTGCGCTATTTGGTA